TAGAATAAACCAAATGTAAAACTACATTCTTGAGACAACCAAGTGAAATTGACCACAGAGTTGGTACTCTATACCAGTAAGGAATTATTGTTAATTTTGTTAGATATGATAGTAGTGGTATGGTTATGCTAAAAAGAAGCCCTTATATGTCAGAGCTATATACTGAAGTATTTACCAGTGAAATAACCTATCTGGTTATTTGCTTTAAAATACTCCAGGAAACCAACAAATTAAAGTGCAAGAGATAGATTGGTAAATGTTGACAATGTTGATAATCATAGAGGCTAGGGTTATTCATACCACTTTACTTTTTATTTGTTTTATTTTTTATTTTTTAGAGATGGGGTCCCACTCTTGCCCAGGCTGGTCTTGAACTCCTGAGCTCAAGCGATCCTCCCACCTCAGCCTCCCAAAGTGCTAGGAATACAGGCGTGGGCCACCACACCCAGCCCATATACTACTTTACTTTTATGCATGTTTGACATTTTTTATAAACATTTTTTAAAAAGTAATTATTGAGTTTGTACTCCAAATAAGACACCATCAGCATACTTCATCAATTATTGAGGGGTCCAACTTTCATTTTATTTTAAATTGGAGAATAATAACAAAAACACTGTATCATGAATCTACAAGGTTTGAAGGTTCTGATGTATACCTAACTCCAACCTCACTCATGACTGCTGCACTGAAATGTAAAATTATGCTTTGTATTCAATATGTGTATACATAAAATGAAACTGCTCTCTCCCCTGTATTCTTGTTCCTTGGTTCTCTAGCTTAGTAACCCTGTAAAAATTTCAGTTCAGCAAATATTTCTGGAATGATATACCAGGTTCCATTAGGCCCCAGGAATAGCAAGTGCTACGAACACGATTTTTATATGTATTTATAAAATAACAAAATACTTAGAAATACCTATATGTATCTATGTATATGCATATATAGTATATAATAGAACTGATAAATGCCATATTAGCTATATGAAAAACATACACTAGGAAACTTAAAGAGAAACATGTAATCCAAATTTGATTGATTATTCACGTTTAAGGAAAGACAGAATTTTCTCTTTTCTCTATTAAAAAGTAATATTTTTACTTATAAAATATGAAGAGATAATCGAAGCACATACAGCCAGAAAATGTAGAAAAGAAGTATTATACAGGTATAATGCTGGATAATTAATTTATTAAAAAATTGTTATTTTTCTGGATTTGGAGATGTGTGTGGTACTTGTCGGCTTTTAAAAATCTGTCGATAGTTTTGTCTTTCATTTTAAATACTCACTTTCACATCCAATTTTGTATTTGTTTCCTTAAAGAGGTCCCCCACTTTGTATAAACTTCAGGTGCCACATGACCTGAATCCACTTGAATGCCTATAATTTGCTAGTCACTGTTCTGGGAGCTAAGGATACATCAGTGAACAAGAGAGAGAGAGAGACAGACAGACAGGGAGAAAACTTTCTTTTGTGAGTGTATATTCTAGTTGGAAGAGAGAGACAAACAGAAACATAATAAGCAAGTTAAATAGTATCGAAGCTTAGTGCTATGAGACAAAGTTGAAGAGGGTCGGGGGTGGAGAGTGCAGTCTAGGGAAAGATGAAACTGCAATTTTAATAGGGGGAGCCAAGGTAGGCCTCACCAAGAAGGTGACTGTGAGCAAACACTTGAAGATTGTTGATAATATCAATGGAATCTAGTGCAGTATAATAGTTTAGTGATACTCTATTAATCACCTATTCAGGTCCCACTTTCGAATATTTGAGGTAAAATAACCCCAAAGGTGCATTAGTAGGAGTATAAAGCAATAACAGGTGGACCAGGGTTAAGAACTGAACAGTTGCCTGAGGCACAAATCTTAGAGATTGGTAGTAAACAATGCAGGGGCATGAAATAATCATTGGAAAATAATAAAATGGGAATATTGCATTTACCAGAACATCTTCAGGGGTGAGCCCTCCAAGGCGGGTAACTCTTGAGGTCTACTATGATTAACGGTGGAGTTTTGTATTGCTGAGTAGCTCACCCTACAGAGAATATGGAACCATATCTGAAGTGTCCAGGGCAATAGGAGGCTGGTTGCTGCCACCAAGAGTTGTCCTTGTACCCCCCTTCTCACCCACTTAGCATTCAATCTTTCCTCTAAATAAAAGTTGCCAAAACAACAGAAAGTAGTTCAAATAGTTAACGGTTTATAGGGTATATTATTGGCCTGCCCTAGAAATAGTAAAATCTGAAAATGGGACCGTGAGTGTGCAAATTTTAAACTTTCTTAGAGCACCATATGTTCTGTTTATATTTCTACGTATAGGCAGCTGTATGCATATATGTAGAATGACAAAAGGACAAGTCAGAACTGGGTATGAGTGCTGACTCTGCCACTTAGCTTTTTAGCCTTTGGCAAATCAGAAAGGGAAAAGCTAAGTTTTACCATCTATAAAAGGGGAATAATAATAAGTTTCTTTTATGACAATTAAATAATTGTGTTTAAATGAACTTAATCAACAAAGTATCATACACGTTTGGCATAGTAAAGCTACAAGGTGGCCCACAGTAGCTATGTAGAATCATAGTAGTTATTAAGTATATAATAATTTAACTTACGGTAATTATCAACAAATAGTTAAGGCAGGACAAAATGCTTTAAAATCTCAATTTACAGTCTGTCTTCATGTAGTTTCTAGAAAGCAATCTACTTTAAACTGAAGACTTTTCAACATCTTTTAATGGAACGTGAGAGCACAAGACAGACATACATCTTATTTCTCAAAAGCAGAATAGGTATTTTCTTACTCACTTGAAATGAATACTGAAGGAGTGACCCTTAACCAGATGAAAGTTCAGCATCAAAAATAAGTGGCTATTTTCTCAAAATTGCCAGCTAGGTAGAGTGATTCCTAAATGATACTTCTTGTCGGCAAGAAAGATGATCTCAAGAATGAACAAAAATAGTCTCTGTTCAACAGCTGTGATATCTATAATTTATAAGCTGTGATCATCTCTCATCAGATTGTTTTGATGTCTTAGCAAGAACGAAAGTTCATCATTTGTATTTTTAGTACTTCTCAAAAAACAAAGTTTTGTTCCATCCTATCCTTTCAGATCAATACATTTCTCTTTACATATAAGCAGTGTGGTAACAGACTTCATCTTTGAAGAATTTGACCTTGGCATGCACACAGTGTTATAACCGTTTGAGTAATCCTTAATAATTTATCCCCAACAGCAAGTAATCTTTCTTTTACTGTTTTTAAAAAATTTTATTTGACAAATAAAAATTGTATACATTTACTGTGTACAGCATGTTCTTTTGAAATATGTATATATTATGCAATGGCTAAATTGAGTCATTAACACATGTATCACCTTACATACTTATCTGTTTTGTGTGTGTGATAAGCAAATAATCTTTTAAGCACTGAAAGATAAGACACCATTAAAGAATGGGACGACATTAAAATAAGGAAGGAAAGATCAGGCAGGGAAGGAAGGAAGAGATAATCACTTCATTACCAAATTCTTTGTTAGTCTTTAACACTCTGCCGGGGCGTCATGCTTCTAATTTCATCTTACCATTATTTCACTTCTATTTTTATCACATTTATTCTATTCTTGAAGAATAAATGTCCTTATATTGTCCTTGTCCTTCAAAATACCTCTCTCTTATGTACTTGACTTTCTGTGGGCACTACATTCAGTTTTCCTTTCCTTTTCTTTCAGCATTTCCTTCTTGGGCAGCAGTACTACCACATATTATTTCTATACTATAAATTTATATGAGCACGTGCTAAAATACACTCGAGCAAATACTGCGACTGCGATATTCTGGAAAACTTGTGCAAATTAGTTAAAATTGAGAGCTTTGCAGGAAAGGGTCTCTTCCATCGATGGGACAAAATAATTGAGAATTAGAGACTAAGCAGAGGGCAACTGAAGACAGCGCAGAACTGGGTTCTCCATGTGCCGTTACCTGTATCAGAAACACTCAGCCGTGACTTGAGAACTTCCTGTGGCTCTCCTCCGACTGCCCTTTGATCAGGGCCCTGCCCACCCCTCCACACCCGCGTTTTCATCTATACATGCCCTCGCTCCCACGCTTCAGGCCTGTTTCTCTTCTTCAAATTCTACTTCCACCTCTTTCCATCCCCTGAGATCGGGCCCAGATCTCACCCCACGTTTTCACTCGCCTCGGTTTTCCTCAGAAGGGCCCCCTCAACCCGCTGCCTCGCAGCACCTGCCGCCTGGGCCCTCACTCGGACTCCACGCACCTCGCCCCACCCCGGGTCCCCGGCCCGCCGTCGCCGCCTCGGGCTCAGCTGCAGCGCTCCTCGCGCCCGGGCGCCGCCCGCTGCCCGTCCTCGGCTCTGCGCGCCCAGCCCGCCGCCCGCCCGCCCTTCCCACCTGGGCCCCGCGCCCCGCGCCGCTCCCAGGCCCGCTGCCCACTCCCCGGCCCGGGCCCGCCCCCCCCGCGGGTCCCGCTGCACTGTGGGTAGGCGGCGGCGGCGGCGGCGGCGGCGGCGCTGCTGAGGGGCCGGTGGCGGAGCGAGGCCGCGCGCGCCGAAGATGGCTGAGAAGCAAAAGCACGACGGGCGGGTGAAGATCGGACACTACGTGCTGGGGGATACGCTGGGCGTCGGCACCTTCGGCAAAGTGAAGAGTTGAGTACGCGTTCGAGCCGCCGCGCTGGGCTGCCCGGCTTGCGGGAGGCCGGGCCGCGGGCGGGCGCAGGGCCGGGCGGCAGGTGGAGCAGCCGCGGGCCGCGCGGAGCTGGGGCTCGGGGAGGGCGGCGGGCAGCGCCTCGCCTCGCAGCGGTGCCAGGACGGGCAAGGGCGGGGGCCAGAGGTCGAGGGCGTGGGCTGGGGTCGGGCGTCCTGGGGTCCAGGTCCAGCGCCCCTCTGCCTTGGCGGTGGTCGGAACAAGGCACTTCTCTTTTCTCCGGACCTCAGCGTCCTCAGCAAAACTGGGAGATTGGACTAGATCCGTGGGGCGCCCTCCAGCTCGGAGACTGTATGGGTAGGGCAGGGGAATAGTACACGCCACTGATGATTGAGGTGCCGTTTGCTGCCAGGTGCCCTGTTAGCTGCGTTACATGCGATGTCATTTACTCCTTGCAGCAACTTGGTCAACGTGTTATCCTCACCTTAAAGGTGACAAAACTGGGACCCCTAGAGGTTTAGTAAGTAACATGCCCAAGGTCACGCAGAAATTGGCAGAACCAGGATGAAGTCTAAGATGTCCTCCAATTCTGTCCTTGCTGGGAGGTCCCTGCCATCCCAGATTCTTTGATGTTCCAGGACTCTTGGTTGGTGGGGCTGGCAAGGGTGTGGGATCTGTGGCCTCCTAGGTTCTTAAGTGAGGCTTTTTGACTGAATCCAAATTTTATAGAATGAATCCTTTTATTAAAAGGGGAGCAGCACAGAAAGATGAAGCTTTTCTTCCCTCCTTTGGTGCTCAAAAAAGAACAATCTTGAAATTAGAAGGCTGCAGGTTTCCCACCCCTGGTAGGGGATGCTCCAGGGGCCAGAGGAGGTGGGTCTTTCTGCTGGGTATGTGAAATGCTGGAAGGCAGCTGAATTTGGTCAGGGCTTAATTAGAACGGGAGATCTGAAGGTTGATGTATGTGTAAAATGGTTCTAGGAAGGCTTCTGGGATGAGGGAGAGAAAAAGGTTCCTTGGTGTTTGTTGGAGGATTTGGGGCTGAGGAGGTCAGCACTGTTAAGGCATTTTCTGCTGGTATCTGTTTTCTTGGAGATGCAATCCCGTTTTGGGTGTAAGGATGCCTTTGAAATTTTATACGTCTTACTAGAATTAAGTAAGAAGAGCTAGTAAGAAGAGCTAGTTAAGTATTGAACCTTCCTTTTTCTTTTTTGTTAATGAGTTACATGAGATTTAATTAACCTGTTTTCTCTCCAGAACTAGAGCCAGTTTATTAAACATACTTTATTTGTTGCAAATCCAGAGGCATAAGTGAAATGTTGGCTTTTTTTTTTTTCCATTTTGCTGAAGAAATGCTGTATTGGCAGTCTGGAAATTTTATTCTGAGGTCTCTATTTCCTTGTAAAATTCATATTTTAACCTCAAGTCAAGGTTGTTGAATAAGGAGAATAGACTCATTGTTCATTCCTGTGGCAAGGATCAGCTCCTGTTTTCTTCCACGTATGTAACACCCATTCATTTGTTCAAAAAACACTTATTGAGCACCTACAACGTGGTAGGCACTGTTCTAGGCAATGAGGATACAGCAAAGAACAAAACCAGACCCTTTCATGAAGCTTATATTCCAGTAGTGGAAGACAAACAATAATCAGAATATATGTAAAATGCATGTTTAGTTTTATTGAGAAAAATGAATCAGGGAAGGTAGCATAGGGAGTTCTGTGAGGTTGGCACTTTTCATTAAGGTGGTCAGACAAGGCCTCACAGACAAGGTGGTATTTTCATAAAGACATAAAATCTTTGTAAAATTCCTTGAAGTCCTGTCAGGGCTATGAAGTCCTGGGTTATGTTTGAAAGACCTTATAAGTAGAGTGGATAGGTAGGTGAATATATAATATTTAGAATGAATATAGGAAGATCTAGAGATTGGATTGATGCTTGTAACGTTACTTGTTATTTAATATCATTATTGAGGACTATCGAGTTATGACATTAAACATTACTCAAGCAAACAGTGCCTTTGCATTTGGACATGTACACTCTGAAAGTTATATAACTTAACCCTGTGTCCTTTTAAATTGTGCTTAAAAGTTTTTTCTAAATTCTTCTACTGTAATCTGGATGTAGAATAGAATACCTATCAGATCAATGAGCCCATTGTCAAAGGACAACTTAACTCTCTTTTGTGTGTACTCTTGAGCTGCTTCTAGACACTGGCTTCTTAAAATATAAACTAACAGAAGGAACTTTGATTTACAAGAAATCCTTTTCTTGGAGAACTCCTGTCCAATGAGCAGCCAAATGGGAGATTTCCTAACACTACATTAGATCCTCTCTAAAGTGATACTGTCGTTTCCCATAGAAGATTAGAATCAGTACTATTGTTTTTTAATAAAAATTATAGAAATTGCTACAGTCTAAAGTTACTCATTTAATTCTTTAAGGCACAAGTGAAACAAAAGCACATGCATTTTTAAAAACAGCTTTATTGAAGTATATTTTACATATCATAAATTCACCCATTCTAGGTATATAGTTCAATGATTTTTAGTAACTTTACCAAATGCTGCAGCCATCATTATAGATCAGTTTTAGATTTTTTAGAACACCACAGTAATATCCCTCATACCTATTTATAGTTAATCCCATTCTCACACTCAGCCCCAGGAAACCACTAATGTATTTTATGTCTGTATAAATATGCTTTTCCTGGACACTTCTTATAAATGGGGTCATTTCCTGGACACTTCTTATAAATGGAGTCTCTCATGTCTAGCTTCTTAACAACACTTTTGAGGTTCATGTGTAACATAGCATGTGTCATTAGTTCGCTCCTTTTTATTGTTGAATGATATTCCATTGTATGAATATGCCACATTTTGTCTATACATTCACTATTTGATGAACATAGTTTTAAGTTTCCGGCTGTTACAAATAATGCCATTACAAATATTCACATACAAAAACATACATATGTTTTTATGTATCTTGGGTAGATTCTTAGTAGTAGATTGCTGGGCTATACCATGCTTTTATGTTTAACTTTTTGAAAAACAGCCAAAGTTTTCCAGAATGGTTGCACCATTTTACAGTCCCACCAACAATGTATGAGAGTTCCCTTTCTCCACATCTTTGCCAACATTAGTTATTGTCTGCCATCCTAGTGCGTGTGAAATGATATCTCATAGAGGCTTTAATTTTGCATTTTCCTAAGTAAAATCATCCCTAAGCGCTAATGATGTTGAACATCTTTCATGTACATATTAGTCATTTATATATTTGATGAAATATCTGTTTATATCTTTTGCTCACTTTTTGATTGAGTTATCATTTTATGAGTTGAGTTATAAGAATTCTTTGTAAATTCTAGGTACAAGTCCTTTATTGGATATATGTTGCAAATAATTTCTCCCAGTCTGTTGGTTGTATTTTCATTTTCTTAATAGTGTCTTTTGAAGTATAAAAGTTTTGAATTTTCATGAGCTCCAATTTATCGATTTTTTTTTTCTTTTATGGACCATGGTCTTGGTGTCATAGCTGAGAAATTTTTGCCTAGCCCAAGATCTTAAAGATTTTTCTCTTACATTTTCTTGTAAATGTTTTATTATTTTAGCTCTTACATTTAATTCTAAGGCCCATTTCAAGTTAATTCTTATATACAGTGTGAGATGAGGTTCTAAGTTCAACTTTTTGCTGAATTGTCCCAACATCTTTTGTTGAATGCATGTACATTTTTAATTATTGTAGATTTTAGACTTTGTAAAATTAATTTCTACTAAAAAAATAGGTGATTTAATTTTATATGGCTATAAAAACATGGAAATTGAGGAGTGATGAGCATTTTATGTGCTTTCTCTCTTAACTGTCATGCGAATGATAGATTTGGAAAATTTAATTTTAGTTGATATATTAATTTATGGACCAAAGTTATGTATAGTAAACAAAAATTGAAAATGGCATAGTTTTAATAGCACTAGTTTCGATTTATTTTTTAAAAGTGTATGTAAATTCTTCTATTTGTGATGAATAAAGACTTCTTTAAAATGTTCTAAATAGAATTTTCTCTTTTATTAGTTTATTGTATTGTTAGATTAGTAGGGGAGTGCTTATGGAAACAGATTATATGGGCTGACAGAGTTTAAAAGTAATGCTTTTTATCTGCTTAAAATTTTTCTCTGGATTAATCATATAGATTTTCACTCTTCCTGGGTAGGGTAGAACTGCTGTTTGAGAGCTCTTGTAATTAGACTTGTTCAGTTCTTATCTATCTAAAGGTGATAGAAATTCTAGAAGAATAGATCTGTTGTTTGTGTCATATAAAGACTGGAGAAAAAAATTATATGTATAATGAAATGCCAATGATTTATTTAAAAGGAAGCCCACATTTTCAAGTTGGGGACTGATAGATAAGGTTTATGAAATAATTATTCTACATGAGAATTGTACACCAAGGGATACTTAGCCTCTTTCTAGCCAGCAAAATCTCACCAAGGAAATTACCTTTTCTGTTCTTCAAATAGTTACCTGAATGGCCCACAGACTGCTCTCAAGAAATTAAGTAAATATTTTACTAATTCCCCACTTATTTTTGAGATAACAGGAAGGATAAGCAAATGGAAAACTTAAAAAAAAATTTTTAACAAGGAATGTTACCTTTTATTGAAATGTAAATACCAAGTCCTAAATGATAAATTGAATTTCAAAGAACTGCTCTATCAATTGGTGAAACTAAAGAGTTATGCCTGTAGTATTTTGCTCCCTTGCTGGGATTTGATTTTGATTCCCATGCTAGTGTGAAGGCCCTGAATCCCTCTGGGCCTTGTTTTCCTCTTCTCCTGAAGAGAACACTAGAACACATAATCTGTGAGGTCATTTTTGACTTTACCATTAAACTGATGTTTAAAAGATTTAATTTGAAAAAAAAGGATGTATTGAATCGTTTAATTTTTAATAGAAATTCGAATTACTGAAGCTGGGAGCTGAAATGTCGACATAGAACAG